TTGCTGATTAAATATGGACAACCGTTCAACTGAAGTAAAACGGGTTTTCCCCTTGCTATGGATAGACATCCATAGCCTGGTACAGTTCAGCCACAATCCGCTACAGTTCGCCTTTATTATCGGTTCGAAATGGGGTGGTTGCATAATACCCACAGTGTTCCATATTACCACCTTTTCCTCTAATATTTAAAAAAATTACATAAAAAATGAAATACTATTGTACTCTATATATTTTTAGATCTTTTTTACATTAATTGAATTTTAGCTACTATGAACGTGCAATTCTCTGTCATATTTTACCATAATGAAGCTCATCTCATCTAAAGCTGTTCATGCCTAAAGGTTTTTTTATGCAATACTAAAATAAATGACTACTTTTGCATTGATTATAATTGATGATATAATTTTTGATTAATAAATATGAAAAATAGTACAGGTAACCCCTGTATAACACGGTACTTTTATAGCTCGTATTCACTCTGACACGGTTTGAGAAATGGGTAAAACCCTCGTACATCATGAAATGTAATAAATTTTTACATACTTAAGTACTAATAGTTCACAAAAATTATTATTTTCGTGAACTATTAGTACTTCAGTGTGTAAATTTTCTTTTCTCGTCTCCATACACATGGTCCTTCGCGAAAATTATTTCAATTTTGCCATATCTCGAAGCTTCTGCTTCTGTGTTGCCAGATGTTTTTCCCTTATTCCATAAGTGCTTAGCACCATATAAGGAAATTTATAAAGATCTTTTAACTAGAAGCAAGCAATCTAAAATTACATACACTTTTTGCAAAAGGTAAAGCATGAATCTGAAAATAATGCAGAAAAATGCTCAGAGGATAACGATAACTTGCCAAAAATAAAACGCTCTCGGTTAATAGTGCTTTTAGTGATGACAAAGAAAACATTGTTTAATTTATATTAATATGCATCACTTAAGAAAATTTTAATACAGTAAAGATATTTAACTTAATTATGAAAATATACTAGCATGTTTTTTAATTTTTGGAACCTAACCCTCCTTTTCGTACTAGTTCTTTGATTCGCATAACACGGCAATTTTTTGGAATGTAACTACCGTGTTATACGGGGGTTACCTGTATTTAATGTATTTTTAATTATTTCTGATAAAATTATTTTCTGAATATACTTTTTAACTGGGATTGTGAATAATATTTTCATTAATAATAATTATATAAATTCTATCTGTAATGAAATTATTTGAAATAGACTAACAAATCTGGTACAACTGCAAATTTAGAACATTTATTCATTGAAGTAACTTTAAAACACTTCTTAAAAAATTTTATGCCTCAAAAGAATAATTGCATATTCCATTTTATTTGTTTCATGCTTAAAAAAGAAATAAGCCATGGAGAATCTGTTATTCACCAATGGGAATGACAATTTTGAGTTTAAGTCATCATTAAGAGAAATAAAAATATTTTCCTACCAATTTGTAGATAGTACTGTTTATTGCACATTTTTTCTTTAAAGTGTATCTAACTAAATAAACAAAAATAAGCTATTTCTATACCCTCAAACTCAAAACTTCAATTAATGAATGGTAATGATTCTAAATCGGCTAATTGGAGTTTTATTAATTTGACACCCAATAATATGACATCCCCTGGCAGTATAATATGATAAACTAATCATCTACAATTTATTTAATAACATTTGTGACTGGCATGTTTTCTACAGGCCAATGCAGGGACAGACACCAAAAACAGGCATCTTATACTTGAAGCATGTGTAGCTTTTACTAATTATATGCATGACTAGAAAATAATTATATGTACACAAATTATTGTGAATGTAGATTTCATTAATACAAATTTTTATAGATTTTTCAGTCAGTCAATCCTAACACAGTATAGCCATGTATTATATTGTATTTCAGAGTGATTAAAGAGCATGCACAAACAAATTTGAAGTATACTGCAGCATGGAACTGATACAAAATGTACAGCAATATATACAATGTTCAAATCCCATATAATTTATGAAATTTTATGAACATACAAAAGTATCTGGTAATCCAGTATTTTCAATAATTCTAAACCATTCCATAGATGCTGAATTAATACACTTCTATATTTAGAAAATATTATTTATTTGCTTGTGGAATACAAACTCAATGTTAAAAAAAAAATGAAAATATTTATTGAGAAAATATTTTGTAACATTAGAAGACTTAATTAAAAAAATATATAATTTTTTTTTGGAGTCCATTCTTTACATCTTTTTACACTCCATCTCAGAAGTAATAGCAAAACTGGCTTGAAGATATAACTAAATCTTCATTAAAAACAGTGATTATACATTATTAAAAAATTACACAAGTTAAAAATGATCAAAATGCCAACCTTTTATTGTAGGATTTGGTACTTTCCCAATAAAACATTGATAAAATTTTTTTTACAATATCTAACATGTCTTGTAGTCCTCTGAGATGGACTGTGAAAGGATGTAAAGAATAGACACACAAAAAAAATATGATTTTTTTCTAAGTCTTCTAATACTTCAAAAACAAAGATAATCTTGGGTGATGTCATTTATGCAAAATACTTTGCATAAATGACATAAAATTTTTGTAAACTTGTGTAAGAACTGTCATATATACTGCAAGAATCCAAAAGTTCATCAATAATACAATTCTGATATTAATATACTAGAAAATTCTAAATCAGCTAAGATATTATTATACAAAGTAAGTTATTTTAATATATTATATTCGTAAATTATATTCTTACCTTTTAAGCCATTTGCTAGGGAACCATTCAAATAATCCTTCCAAAAGGAATCCAAATAAGATAAGTCAGAAAACTTGATATCACAAACTACACAGCCCAAGTCTCTGGAATGTAACAGTGCATTTGACTGATTAAAACAATCTAGCTGCTTTTCAATGGGATCAGCCTTATTGGAATTGACACTGTCTTCTNGACGTCATCGTTATTCCTATTTCGTTAGACTTTTCGAACGATTCGTTACTAACGCGTTTAACTCGTTTGACTTTACGAATGTATCCATTATTAAAGACTTCGATACAAAAATGAAAATTTGTGAATTGGCAAAGTTTGATCTACCGGAATTGTCGGTCATAACAATTATAAAAGGCAAAGAAAAAGTTCTCGAAGCTGTGAAAAATGCTCAATCTTTAAATTCAAGCATCATTCGTAAACGTCAAAGTATTATCGTTGAGATGGAAACAATGTTAAAATTATGGCGTAATAATCAAGTAAATGTGAAAAATTGTAAAATAATATAGGCCTAATTTGTTATACATATGTATTATATAAGATTTTATTAAACATTTTTTTCTAAATTATTGTTTTCTTTAGTCTCCGGCCCCAATTAAAAATTATTTGTATGTATTTATATGCGAAATTATACCCCGACTTACGCGATTACCGCTCGGCCCCATCTATCGCGTAAGTTCGGGGTATTACTGTATTTGTATTATGTATATGTTACCGGCCAACCCGAAAATTGTAAATTTCATTTTCAAAATAACCGAAATTCATCATTGAAACGCGAGAAATTAAACACAAAATAAAAATTGCAATAAATTCCATCTTTACATTTTTAGCAGAATTCTTTGCGTCGCCGAAAATTTTAGGACGTTAAAACTTTCTTTTTAAATGCGATGTTTAACTTAATGTGCACGTAATTCTCAACCGCCAAATCGGAAACAATGGTGACAGCTGGAATCAACAATGTTTTGAGAATCCCATAACAACGGATTAAAAGACTTACGGATTTATTTTAACTCTTCCCGCCCTGTGGACACTAAAAGGGCCTTTTAGCAAGCCCATTGTGAGTTCGGCCAGGCCCACAGTTTTGTATTCTGTTTATAAAAAAAGCATAAATTTAGACGACTCGTGATTTATATATAAATAAATATATATCACATCACAAACCTTTACAAAAAAGAAAAAAATCCGCCAAATAGTATGCTTGCTAAGAGCACAAAAAATTTTTAAGTTTCTGTCGCGTATCCCTTGAAAGCAAGTAAAACGAAATATTTCAGGAAAAATTTCTCATTCAACGATTAACAACAGAAAGTTATTGTTAATTTTCAGAATTTCTATCCGCTCTCTCTGTATTGAATTTTGTATATAGGCTATTATTATTTAAAACGTTACCATAAGAGACTATTTTCTTTCGTCTCAATTCCGTTTGAATGCACCGAATACCGGTTTTTAAAAGAAATAATTTATAAGAAAATCTAAGCTGCTTATCATTAATTAATTAAGCTTAATTTAATTTTTTTCAGTTACAAAATTTGTTCGTGTGGGCTCAAGATTGGTGGGCCATCTCCGTTCCTACGCTCGTGATTTAACTATTTTACTTCAATTAATAAATTAACTGATGGCGTACGTATAAGTACATGATTAGGAGTAATATTTGGTAGCGAGATTGCGCAGCACAGTAGAAAGTGCATGCCCGGTGTTGTAATGCAATAAATTGATCGAAAATTATATTATTTCGCAAAAAGTACTGTTCAATTTCTTCTATTACGAAATTACTATCTCTTCTTTGATAAAAGAAGTTTCCAAATTTAAAAATTAGTTTTGTATAAATTAGCGTTAGTTAATCTCCCCACACGAATCACTTAATTACTAAACTAATAATAATTGATAAGTTTATACCCATAGTCATTAAAATCCGAACCAATTCCTTAAGTAATCCAACACTAATAAATTCACACATTAACAAATAATATCAAGAAATGTAAATAATTTTATTTTATAATTAATACACATAGTATATTAAATAATTTGCTATTTACTCAGTTAACTATAAATTGTTTTGGTTATAATATTCACAAAATTCTCTAGAAGTAAAATTTTACATCTTTTTCTTGATGCATTAAAATAAAAATATATTGACAGATTTTAAAAATTACTATATACAATGATTTATAAAAATACTGTTATTGATTAACTGAAATAATACTTTACAAAATTTATTATTTGAAAAGTTTCAAAAAAAAAAAAAGAAAATAATAATAAATTATTTAAAAATTTTGGTATTAGTAAAGTTTTAAATCTATTACAACATTCAGAATATCATTTAACTGTTTAGATTGCTAATCATAAAAAATTATATATATATAACATAATGAATAAAAAGTTTAATTTTTACATTCATTAATATAAAGTAAATGGTGATATAAGTCAAAAATTTGCAATATGTAAAATATGCCCAGGTGCAGAATTATTTTCTTTTATACAAATTTTCTTGGAGTAAGAACAAGTTCAAATAATATAGAACTTATGTATATATTCATTCTTGTACAAAAATTATTAAAAATATGTATGCATTTCAATGTATTTTCAAAATACATTCATGATAAATTATATTTCTTCTTCCCCCCTTTTTTAATGCAAAATTTTAGAGATTTTTTAGTAATAGTCGACGTCCTTCAAGATAGTCTTTTTCCTCCACATGAACCAACAGTTTCAAATCTTCATTACCTACCACTTGCCTTAAAGAGTCTGTTATGAAAACACCTAAAAAGAAAAAACAATCGTGAATTCTTTCTTTATGGAAACTAAATTAGAAAATAAATACTTTAATCCAGCTAATCTTTAACAGAAAAAAAAAACACCAAAGAACTTACAAATTATGAAGATAAAGTTTTAATTATATATATTAATTATATACAAATTATTAAATGATTACTATATACTTTTTTTATTCATTTAAGAAAAATAAAACATATTTTAAGGAATAATCAACTAACAAAAAATAAATAATTCTGGCAACTCTATTCTACTTAACACTCAAATACTTTTTAGCTATTGACTATATGTAAAAAAATAAACATTATAAGATCAACTGATTATACTATTGGTCTTCAACATAACGATCTGTCATGCTGCCCAGTTAGTAGACTTTTGGTACATTAATTACAAATTTGTTATGCTTAAACTGTATGCAATGTCATGCAAATCTAAGGAATAAGTGTATATCACTTAGCATGTATTAAAAATTATAAAATTGTGGAATATATTAAGCAATATGGATGTATTTCATTTAACTGTAAGATACACATTAGGCTCAAGAGGTTAAAATTGTTTAAATATATTTTTGTAAGTAAAATATGTTCAAGCTTTGAATGATTTACTTAAAGTACTAAAGTAATTTAGGCCAATGGTTTCAACACATTCCCCCTGATAGGTAGGCTACAAAATTTCAATGAAACATTTTCAAAATGTTAAGTTTTTTTGGTCTACTTTTTATTATTATTATTATTATTATTATTATTAATTAATTTTTTTACACAAAGAAAACTGTAGCTCTTCAATAATCACATTTTAATTTATATGTAAATTAAAGATCTTTGATGCAACACTGATTTGTCTGTACTACAGAATAAAAGGTTGATGTGTTAAAACCAGTGTTCTTAGAGTGATTTTTAAAATTTTACTTAAAATTTTTAAAACGTAATTTTGCATTTGATTTACTTTTTAAATTAAGACAAAATATTGATGCAGAAAAATCTTAGGGCAAATAATTCTTGAAGTAATCAAAATAATCTGTTGAATTTGTCAAAACATTCAAAATAATGATAGTAGTTGAGAAAATGGTATTATGGAAACCCAATTACATTTTAGTGAATTGTAAACAAGGTATCATAACTACACCCACATTTTTTGTGCGAAAAGTACTGGTAACTATTAAACTAAATGTTCCTAATAGGATTTTTCGCTAGTGTAACTATAAGTATAGTTTTTGAAGGCTTGTGTACAAAAATTCAGAAAGTAGGCTTAGAGAAAATCGGGTGGTAATATGGAACCTTACTGTATATTTTCAAAAAATGCTTTAATGTATCCAAAAACAAATAGGAAAGTACAAAAAAATTTTAAATAATTACAAAATTATTTACTCCAATGTATTTTATCGCAGAAATGCTTCTATAATAGAAAAATATGACTCCATCAACAATATATATTCCGGCAGCTCTTTTTCGATATTCTTGGGACTTTCTACCTAGTGTCTTTTTCACAAATTGCTCCGGAAGAATGTCTGCTTGCAAAGAGAGAGTTCGGAGGAGTTGAGTTCCATATTACTGTAAAAGCACCAATGGGGTCCGTATTTCACGCATTGCCATCTTGAATTCACTTATGTCTGTCAAGACCAAAATTTAAAAAATGTGAACATTACACAGATTAATATGTACCCCTAAGTCTCTGGAACGGAATACATGCACCAGTGAACCTACAACTACACAATTTATATTTTAAAAATAATTAAATTCACTTAGCATTCAAAACTTGCGAATTTTGAAAAAAACAAATTTGCTGATTAAATATGGACAACCGTTCAACTGAAGTAAAACGGGTTTTCCCCTTGCTATGGATAGACATCCATAGCCTGGTACAGTTCAGCCACAATCCGCTACAGTTCGCCTTTATTATCGGTTCGAAATGGGGTGGTTGCATAATACCCACAGTGTTCCATATTACCACCTTTTCCTCTAATATTTAAAAAAATTACATAAAAAATGAAATACTATTGTACTCTATATATTTTTAGATCTTTTTTACATTAATTGAATTTTAGCTACTATGAACGTGCAATTCTCTGTCATATTTTACCATAATGAAGCTCATCTCATCTAAAGCTGTTCATGCCTAAAGGTTTTTTTATGCAATACTAAAATAAATGACTACTTTTGCATTGATTATAATTGATGATATAATTTTTGATTAATAAATATGAAAAATAGTACAGGTAACCCCTGTATAACACGGTACTTTTATAGCTCGTATTCACTCTGACACGGTTTGAGAAATGGGTAAAACCCTCGTACATCATGAAATGTAATAAATTTTTACATACTTAAGTACTAATAGTTCACAAAAATTATTATTTTCGTGAACTATTAGTACTTCAGTGTGTAAATTTTCTTTTCTCGTCTCCATACACATGGTCCTTCGCGAAAATTATTTCAATTTTGCCATATCTCGAAGCTTCTGCTTCTGTGTTGCCAGATGTTTTTCCCTTATTCCATAAGTGCTTAGCATCATATAAAAAAATTTATAAAGATCTTTTAACTAGAAGCAAGCAATCTAAAATGACATACACTTTTTGCAAAAGGTAAAGCATGAATCTGAAAATAATGCAGAAAAATGCTCAGAGGATAACGATAACTTGCCAAAAATAAAACGCTCTCGGTTAATAGTGCTTTTAGTGATGACAAAGAAAACATTGTTTAATTTATATTAATNCACCATATAAGGAAATTTATAAAGATCTTTTAACTAGAAGCAAGCAATCTAAAATTACATACACTTTTTGCAAAAGGTAAAGCATGAATCTGAAAATAATGCAGAAAAATGCTCAGAGGATAACGATAACTTGCCAAAAATAAAACGCTCTCGGTTAATAGTGCTTTTAGTGATGACAAAGAAAACATTGTTTAATTTATATTAATATGCATCACTTAAGAAAATTTTAATACAGTAAAGATATTTAACTTAATTATGAAAATATACTAGCATGTTTTTTAATTTTTGGAACCTAACCCTCCTTTTCGTACTAGTTCTTTGATTCGCATAACACGGCAATTTTTTGGAATGTAACTACCGTGTTATACGGGGGTTACCTGTATTTAATGTATTTTTAATTATTTCTGATAAAATTATTTTCTGAATATACTTTTTAACTGGGATTGTGAATAATATTTTCATTAATAATAATTATATAAATTCTATCTGTAATGAAATTATTTGAAATAGACTAACAAATCTGGTACAACTGCAAATTTAGAACATTTATTCATTGAAGTAACTTTAAAACACTTCTTAAAAAATTTTATGCCTCAAAAGAATAATTGCATATTCCATTTTATTTGTTTCATGCTTAAAAAAGAAATAAGCCATGGAGAATCTGTTATTCACCAATGGGAATGACAATTTTGAGTTTAAGTCATCATTAAGAGAAATAAAAATATTTTCCTACCAATTTGTAGATAGTACTGTTTATTGCACATTTTTTCTTTAAAGTGTATCTAACTAAATAAACAAAAATAAGCTATTTCTATACCCTCAAACTCAAAACTTCAATTAATGAATGGTAATGATTCTAAATCGGCTAATTGGAGTTTTATTAATTTGACACCCAATAATATGACATCCCCTGGCAGTATAATATGATAAACTAATCATCTACAATTTATTTAATAACATTTGTGACTGGCATGTTTTCTACAGGCCAATGCAGGGACAGACACCAAAAACAGGCATCTTATACTTGAAGCATGTGTAGCTTTTACTAATTATATGCATGACTAGAAAATAATTATATGTACACAAATTATTGTGAATGTAGATTTCATTAATACAAATTTTTATAGATTTTTCAGTCAGTCAATCCTAACACAGTATAGCCATGTATTATATTGTATTTCAGAGTGATTAAAGAGCATGCACAAACAAATTTGAAGTATACTGCAGCATGGAACTGATACAAAATGTACAGCAATATATACAATGTTCAAATCCCATATAATTTATGAAATTTTATGAACATACAAAAGTATCTGGTAATCCAGTATTTTCAATAATTCTAAACCATTCCATAGATGCTGAATTAATACACTTCTATATTTAGAAAATATTATTTATTTGCTTGTGGAATACAAACTCAATGTTAAAAAAAAAATGAAAATATTTATTGAGAAAATATTTTGTAACATTAGAAGACTTAATTAAAAAAATATATAATTTTTTTTTGGAGTCCATTCTTTACATCTTTTTACACTCCATCTCAGAAGTAATAGCAAAACTGGCTTGAAGATATAACTAAATCTTCATTAAAAACAGTGATTATACATTATTAAAAAATTACACAAGTTAAAAATGATCAAAATGCCAACCTTTTATTGTAGGATTTGGTACTTTCCCAATAAAACATTGATAAAATTTTTTTTACAATATCTAACATGTCTTGTAGTCCTCTGAGATGGACTGTGAAAGGATGTAAAGAATAGACACACAAAAAAAATATGATTTTTTTCTAAGTCTTCTAATACTTCAAAAACAAAGATAATCTTGGGTGATGTCATTTATGCAAAATACTTTGCATAAATGACATAAAATTTTTGTAAACTTGTGTAAGAACTGTCATATATACTGCAAGAATCCAAAAGTTCATCAATAATACAATTCTGATATTAATATACTAGAAAATTCTAAATCAGCTAAGATATTATTATACAAAGTAAGTTATTTTAATATATTATATTCGTAAATTATATTCTTACCTTTTAAGCCATTTGCTAGGGAACCATTCAAATAATCCTTCCAAAAGGAATCCAAATAAGATAAGTCAGAAAACTTGATATCACAAACTACACAGCCCAAGTCTCTGGAATGTAACAGTGCATTTGACTGATTAAAACAATCTAGCTGCTTTTCAATGGGATCAGCCTTATTGGAATTGACACTGTCTTCTAATATCTGGTCATAATTACAATATTCAGCTTTTACTCTTAACCGAATATCTGAAAATGAAAGAATTTCAAAATTATATTCAATATTCAGAACAAATTACATTAAAAGTCATTACAGACAAAAATTACTTTAAGTTTAAAATAATTAAAAATAAAAAATCTTAATTGTTATACCATTAAGATTTTAGTAAAATAATTATTAAAATGTATTATTTTATTCCTAATTATAATTTAAAGCCCTTTTCTCCATTTTTAATTCTTTCTGTCCTGTGGGCACTAAGTGGGGATCTTTTCTTACCTATCATGCATTTGCCTAAGCCTACTGTAAAGACGGCTGGTTAATGAACAGGGTCCAACAAATGCAAGACTGACCACCCACTACAATTTGCATCTTACAATTTCATGTGAATAGATTAGTGTGCATGCAACATCAATTTTGTACACAATTTCATAAAGAACCATCAGAAAAAAACTATTTGAAGATGGTATGATTAATTCTAGTAAACATGTTGTCTTTCAGGATAAACTGTCTGGCAGACCTTTGTCTTCTAAGGCTGGCGTGGAAAGAATTAGAGAATGTTTTCACTGTAGCTCTTGAAAGTCTACAATAAGAGTGAGCTGGGAGCTTGCAATTTCAGAAATAACTGTTGTGCATGTTGCATAAACATCTAAAAGTTTTTAAATTGTCTTTTTTGTTGAAAATTTGTGAAATTTTGCAGAGAGGTTTATGTATAGGTTTTTGAAGAAATAAGGGAACATTATCTGATCTATTTTTCACATATTGTGCCTATGACTTTTAATTTTCTATTTGTCAACATTGTGAGAGTGTATATACTTGTGGAAAGTTATCAAAAAATATTTTGTAAACTATAAAATATTTTTGATAACTTTTCCACAGCCTCATTTTTAGAGAAGGCAGATGATATCTGACTGATAACCCTTTGCCCAAGTGATTATCATTTGTTTCTAAGATGAGAAACAAAATATCAAACTTATAGAGTATTTAGGTAGGATCTCAACCTGTACATTTTCATTTTTATCTACAGTCTAATTGTAATTCAGGTGAAGATATTTCTAGATTTCATTGAATCTATTTCTAGACTATGTATTACAAACAACACTAGCGCACACATTCTGCTATGGAAGTCTATAATACCAACTGAAAAGAAGAACACTTATAAAAAAATTTTATTTCAGGCAACACAGGGCACAGGATTTCCTGAATGTACCATTGTGTTGTCAATATCACTGATACCATTAACAGGTGTAGCTGACTGTTGATGGCAAACGGCTCTCTGAATTAGTATGCAAACAGTAGTCTTCCACATTCTAATGCTGTGATCATCCACTCCCAAAAAAGAATCTCAATTTGTTGCTAAAGTCAATATTCTGCCAATATGTTTCAGTCCATGCCTGTTATGTAACCACTGGAAACAATGTTCGGGTGCTAAAGACAGGATGCGTAACAATTGTCATGCATGTAAATTTCACCCTGCTAGTTGCCTGCCAATGGTATAGGAAAAGAGGATTCTGTAATGAGGCTTCCCTCTATCTCTGGATAATGGACAAAGATCACTGCAGCTGCTCACACTTTTTCAAGATCAGACAATCTTCTCTGAAGAATCATCTCTCCTGTGTCTGGAGCATCCAAAACCCGTTCTCAGTGTATTTGTGCCCTAACATATCCACTATCCCAACACCACTCCATTGTCAGATCAGAATGGCCCAAATGGACGCCAATTTTGCAAAGTAGTCATTTGGTTTACCTCAGCCCATGATGTGGTGTTTATGAACCTATTATATCTGTGTAAAGTCAAGCCTGACTACATTTTATAGGCACATCCCACATTTGAAGTTCAGTGTGTTCAAACAACAAGTCTTACAGTAGTGATTTTTGGACATTCTGGTGGCATTACAGTTGTGGTCCAATTGCTGGCCAGATAATCATTTACCTACTTGTCTGAGACAGTTATATGTCAAAGCTTTATAGTAACTAGACAATTCTATCTGGATGAATAACTTTTTGCCAATAAGAGTATTAAACATTATACATCCTCAGAGATAATATCAATACATGCTTATATACAGGTTACACATTATGCTTTATATACATTTATAAAAATTAATTGAAAATTTTGGGATAACAATGTAATTTTTTCCTCATTTAAAATAATGGTAAATAGGCTCTTAGTTAATGTTTTTCTGCAGAACATCTGATTTTCAAGAATGAATTACTGAAGGTAAGCAAAACATGCCTATATTGAGTAACACTAGCTATTAAGATTTATGTGAAATGGGATTAAAATTAAAATGAAGTGGCATATAAAATAATTTTCTTGTAAAAAAGTGATGACTGTGTTTTTTTGACTATTGAGAAACTGTTCAGAGAATTTCAGCCACAGTAATAAACTGTTAACCAGCACTTAAATTTGTTTTTGAAAAGCCACGAAAGAGTTGCACCCAAGATCTGGAATATAGGTTTTATGGATTGTTTGCTGTACCATCACAATGCATTTTCATCACCAAATTTTTAATGGAAAAAGCATTTCTGTCTTTTCCTAATCATCTTTACTTACCTAAAGCAGTATTACTGGACTTTATTATTTCCCCAAATTAAAACTGAAAATCAAAGTTAAAATTTTGAGTCAGTTAAAAAAAAAAAAAAGTCTTTTAAAAAAAGATCAGTTTAAAGAAATAGATTTCATATTCCAGTGGAAATGCCACTGGAATTGTTGAGTACAGAGAGTATTACTTTAACCCATGATCATGGGATTAGTTAATATAGAAAAGTGCTACTGTTTCTTTGTGGAAGTTTTTCACTAAATTGACTTACTTAGCTATACTTTCAATATATTTTCATACTACATGCTATCTATATAACTGTGTAAAAAATTTCAGTTAAAAAATTTTTCTGCTTATCACAGGTCCCCAAAAAACAAAAATTAACACCTTACACATTGCAGTTATGTACAATTTTTCTTTATTGTCACACAATCACATGCCTAAGTGGCAAATTTCTGCTCTGATGTCATTTTCAGTAATCTGATATTGATATTGATGTTAGAGAGGTCTCTTAATCATTACAAAAGGAGGCAGCCATGATGTAATTACATGAGTGGCTTGCAAATCATTATGATCTGAAATGCTTGTCTCCATAAGATAGCCTGGGACACTACAATCTTCAACAATTTAAATGTTTTCATCCATTTATTTTGTGCCCAAAATCATTTTCTCAGAAAGAGCAGAAAATGGTCATTTATTTTTTTCAGCTGAACTTGCAGATAAGTCCATCATATTGCAGTTTGAAGATTGCCTATGTGAGTCCAGTCAAGGACACTGTTCTGTAAACAAAACAGTAGCTTGTAAATTTAACATCATATGATGTTAAAATTATGCACATGCAGACAAGACATATTTCAGGAAATTTCAAAATCTTGACAGTTAAGGAATGGCAATTATGTACAGCCTAATTATATATGAAAAAATCAGTAGAAAATGGTTGCTTTATGTAAGCAATTCTGTAATAAAAAAAATCCCTGCATGTGTTGTGGGTTAAAGGTAAACACAGATATCATATAAAATTTTGTATACATATAATCTCATTACTTTCAGGTCAATTATATTATAAAACTAATATTTTTAATCGAATGACAGAGCTAAATTATTTACCAGACAAAAATTAGACTAATTAATTAGATAGATATTTCTTAATTTGGATTAAAAATAGGTGATTATGTAACCATCTTTTATTAAATTTAATTATTCTTAATTTCAGAAATAAACTATTCTGAAAGAAAATCAATCCAGAGTGGGACTTGAATCCACAACTTCCATTTACCATAAAGATGCATTGCTAATTACACTACTTTGACCTCCTTTTCATTTTCACACTATCATTTGATTATTGGCATAATTTGGATTTGCTTTCTGTACATATTTTAATGTTGTTCTGAATCAATTTTAACTTACCTAACTTTGATATAGATGTTAATCATTTTGGATCTCAAATGATTACAATTTACTTTTAATATGAAATAACTGTATATCAACTTAATCTCAAAGATAATGAATTATTTTCTTTCTGATAGTTATATTCCTTTTAATAATTTATAAACTTCATTCTTTGTTTTAATTGGTATTTAATTTTGATAGCCAAATGATTACCAGATTAAAAATTGTCATCAAATAACTTTAAAGACCTGATTATTTTTGGAATTAAGCTAAAACTTTTAAATAAAACTCAGAATTAAGATTCTGGCTTATACCCGCCTTAATATTATTTAAAATTTGACATTATTAATTTAAAATCTTTTCTTTCAGAATTTTATATCTGGAATACAAACAAAACCCATAACTTTGCTTATTGCATTATCAATTACATACTACTTGGATCTCTAACAGGTGCTTAAGCCTCTAGACCAGTGGTTCTTAACCTTTTTGAAATCATGGAACACTTTAGAAGATAAGAAAAATTTGCACAAACAAATTTGTGGAACAACACAATCACTAAAAATTATAGATTACAGAATACATAAAAGAAAAATTGCATTTGTAAACACTAACTAAACTCTTTTATAAAAATCAAGCAACAAGTTGCTTAACTTTCCTGCAATATTTGGTGGCACCATCCGTTTATGATATTTTATTAGAAAAACTTTAGATTTTAACTATTATAAAATGGCAAAGAGCTTAATTTTGAAAGTAGTGATTGATTTTATAAAAAATTGTAAATGCTAATGATGAGTAAAATCATCATTAAGTCCAACATTATTGGAGATACACAAACCCCCATTTTCTCCCCACTCCCTTGACCACAATCCACAAATAAACCTCCCTGAAAAATTTCAGACATTTTTGACAAAGCACAGGAGTCATTAAGCTTCAAAGAGTGTTAACAAAATCATGTCCCCTACACAAACTAACATCCATATATACAGCAAAAACCCCTGAATATTTTTGCATTTCTTGATGTTTCATGGTGTCCTAAGTCCAAAAATGTAAAAATCTGGGGAGTCATTTTTTGACTGATCATCATACTTTACTGGCTCTGTTATATAGAAGAGAGCCAGTAAAGTAAAAATGGAACTTAATCAGTTATAATGCAATACCTGAGCTTGCTGGCTCTTGCAGATTTCATCAATATTAGGTCTAATAAGTAATGTAATATTAATACAGATGAAAAAATAAGGGTAGCTATAAGTCTTTCTCTTTGAATTTTTAGATTGGTGGAATGTGAGATCCTAGCTCACAAAAATATGTTGAAAACTAACTAAATTTTCAGTGCCCTTGTAGAGAGAGCTGGTTATTCAGAAAAGACAAAAATACAAAATTCCTTGAGAGTTATTTCATATTAATTTCATATCCAGTCAATTTTTTATATTTAAGGAAGGAATTAAGGAAGGAAGTAACTTGTGATCTTTTCTTCCTATAGTGTTAAATTTTGTTATAACAAATATAATTCTTCTTGACATTTTTATTTTGAAGCAAAGAAACATATCTACTACACATTTTTTCCCGATATGTGGTTTTTTCCAGGGATGCTTTTACTGAAATGTTGATATTTGTCAGTGGATGACAAAATATTTCCATTTTTTCCTTGGATATTTCTATTAATGGAATTCAAGTAATTAAAAATATTGACTAAGTATGCCATTGTAGCACACTACATATCATTTTGAAAACAGACCAACAATTCATTCTCAGGTTCTAAAAATGGGCTTATCACTTTACCCTTGAATAACAATATTACTTTTGAAGTGCAAAAGCAAAGATTTACACTGAACTTCTGTAGATATTTAAACTTTTTAAAAAGCATGTTTTTAATGATCATGACTTCATGTAATTTAACATAAACCTACACTAGACCAAGTTGTAAGTAACATTCCTGGTAATGTTTTTGAAACTACAATATCTTTATGCAAAAAACTTTGCTTAGATTATAATATTTTTTTTTTGTCTTTGCAACAGTAACAAGAGTAGTTCACTGAAAAATGCAAGTTTTATCTTGTCTTTGCTGTAAACTGAAAATTTATGCTAAAGTTTGTCTAATCATAGTTTCAGCTAGTATGCCACTTTCATAATTTTGCAGAACACTAGTGTTCTTAGAAACATATTAAAAAACTACTGCCCTAGACTAATATCAAGTTAGGTCACATACATAGATTAATTGCCACTGTGCCAATCAACGATATTATGTCCATGGCTATCAGCTGACTTTTTTTAACCTACCCCTGTATTCATATACACAACATTCAATTAATTTTATACATATTCATTCTGCTGTGATTTAAATGTAAATGCATTTCCCTGAAAAAATTTTGTATGTGATTATATTATATATANATAAAATCATATTAATGTGTATATATTTTCTCAGTATAAAAAATGCTATTATAAATTCTACATATTATACTAAATATTACCATTGAGTAACATGATATACTTGAATGAAGTACAAACTTTAATGCATATAAAAACATGGATTGTTAGTATCAAAATATCAATAGTTTTTTTTAAAGAAATTGCACTCTCTTTTGATTTTCTTGTTTTAAAAAATAAAATTGAAGAGAGGTTTTAAAAATTACAAAAACCTACATTACAGAATGAATAAAATTAGTTTTATTATGTATTCTAGATGCTTCATTTTTTTTTATCTTATCAGATTCAAACTATGCAAGGTTTATAGATAAGTGAAATATTTGGTATCTAAATGTTATATTTTATTATACTTATTTTCTAAAAAAGATTGAATTTCTATCTTAATCTGTTGCTATTTCTTAAAGTATATATTTTACCTACAGTATCTATGATCTATTACCTGAGCATAAATATGTATACAGTGGTACCTCGGTATACATCTGCTTTAGAATACGTCCTGTTTGGATGAAACAAATTTTGCTCGGTATACGACTTAATTCAATTATAAGTGCCATCTATGAACAAGTAGCATTATTGGTGTATTAGACCAGACTAAGTGTTTGCGGTGCCACAGTTTATAACTTTGTTAAATTTCTTCTGATTTTAATTTGTAAGTAAAATTTTATTATTTTTATTAATCATGAATTGCAAAAAGGCAAATGAAAAGCAACAGAAAACTAAAAAAATGACTAAAATCACAATAGAACTGAAAAAAAAAAAAGATTGTTGAGAAATATGAAGGTGGCATACGTGTTTGAGATTTAAGTGTTGCAATGAAATTCACCTTTTATATTCTGTAACCTCCAAGACTATCTGGAATTTTATGTCTTCAACAAAGAAAAAAAATCAAGCTGAACATACTAATTTATTGAACTGTTTTACCATTTTATATGTATATTTATTATTATTTAATAACATTTTATTATTCTTATAATCTCGTATTGATTCATATGAAGTTAAAATTTTTGAATAATTTAATCATCAAAAAGAATAATTTCTTGTTATATTATTACTTTTATTATTGCTCATTTTTATATTTGTAGTAATATTGTTTTTCCTTGTAATTTTCACTAAATGGACTGCTTGAATCAGTGGCAGTCATTACATTTCATGATAAAATGTACTTCAGTACATCTTATTTACTGATATATAATGATGTTTAATTTAATAAATAGTTTTTTATTACAAGTTTAAGAATTGAATTCACACAGTTAATTCAATAGCATTGTGGTTAATAAATTTATTAGGTAACTTTCTACTATTTTTAAGTGTCTCTTAAAAAGAAATTAAATATTAAGAATTAATTTTATAAGGTTAAATTGTTGTCTCATACGAAATGATTTATGAGAAAAAAATTTCATTAAAAGATATTCTGATTCAAGACATTTTTTATTGATAAGGTAATGTAAAAAAGTCTTTAAAATAATATACTTCTAAAATTTACAAGAATGTTATATTCTTTCTTTACTTTGAAGGCAAATTAATTTCTGCATAATTTGACCAAAATATTTTTTCATAAAATTCCAAAATAAAGTATAAAAATGATTTTAGTACATATGGATTTACTGTTAGATTTTTAATATAGTAGTTTTGAAAAATGATACAATCTTTTGACTAAGTACAGATGCAAATTTCAAAAAAGTGCACAAATACATAAAGTTCAAAGGCATAGTGAATTTCTTTATAATAAACTTTTAAATAAATATATTTTGTTTTTTATTATTTTTAAATGTCTTGATGAAATAATGTTTATATCAATGAAAGCTATTGTAAGGAAATTATCTTTGTTACATAAAAAGTTTATATCTCTATAAAACTATATAATCAATACATATATAATATCATTAACATTTACTGGCAAAATGCCAATTGGCTTTTTCTATCACGAATGGGTCTGTTTCTTATTGAAATTGTCTGTTATTTGCTGTTTTTCTGATGTAAACTGGGTAAGCCATTGTCTATTAAAATGATATTTTATATTTAAATTAAATATAGCTATTACTACCACTAATACTTTTCCATTTGAAGTAATGCATTATAAAACTTAAAATTATTATTTTATAAATAAATTGGAAAGGAAAACTGTTCTTTAATTTTATCACTATCTGTTACTGATTATATAAAAATAAAAACTAGTATGAATTTTATTTGTTATACAAAAGTTTTACAAGTCAATAATATGTGACTATTATTTATTATACAAAAATAATAGTTACATATTGTCTTGCTTTACATAAAATGATAATACTGTGCTACTAAAACACATCACTGCATGACAATTTTACAAATAGTATGATACATTATTATGAACAATCTGCTATTCATAATTTAAATATTGTATAAATAAAAAGTGATACAACTGAAATGTTTAGTTTTGTTTTAACATATCTAAACATTTATTATGAGAATCTTATTTATAAATAAACATTCAAAATTTAAACTAAACTTTCAAAATAAAATTATCACTATTATAATGTATAGACTTGTTAATTTTTATTAAAAAAAAACAAATGTTTGAATATCATGCACCAACATTCAATTTTTAAAATAAACTATTGATATATATTATGACAAAAAGTTGAATGCAATCAATGTGTGTAAAAAGTTTTAACTTTACAGTCAAAGAACATGCTGTGTTCCTGACATTTTCTTAATTTTTTTGTAATAAAAATAATAAAAGAAAAAAAACCCAATTATTTTTAAAACTTACCACATGTATATTGTTTGCGTTCTACCAGAGTGACAGAATTCATTTCAGGTGAATTACGTGATAAATAATGTCTTTGTCTTCTGCTTCTTCTTTGACATTTAACAGGTGGTTCAGAATTTACTGACTCATCATTAGTATCATTTGACAATGAAGATCCTGGAGATTTTCTTTTATTACTACGAATCGTACATGTTCTCTCAGAATGCATAAACATTCTGTCATCTGCTATTTTCTTGAAATATTCTTCTACAGGATCTACTGATACTGAAATTGATACAACTTAATATTAAAATTCAGTTAATACAGAGAGACAAAATATATACTTAATTTATTTTGTTATTTATACTTCATTCTAAAAATTATTACCATTATTATTATTGGGATAGGAATTTAATTATAAATTGTGTGAAAGTGAATNTCCAGACACCCATTATATGTTAGAACGGTTTCTTACTTTCGTATGATGTATTAACGCTGTTATATATTTGAAACATGATTTTACTTCAGTTCACCAATAAAGAAGATAAAGTTGAGTAGGATTATCTGTTGATGATTCTTTAATAATTACTGATTTAATAATTTAGAAATAATTTGTATAAAAACCAATGTTATTGATTAGATATTATATGTATATATAAAATTTATTTATGAATGTTAATTATCATCATTAAACATAATTAAATTATTCTAATTTTAATAGTTATGTAAAATAAATGTTCTTAGCATTTTCATTACAACTTAAACTTTTTATAGAAGTTTTATTATTTATATATAAATATTAGTATTTAATAAAAACATTACATTGAGTTCTCTTTTTTTATTATTATTAGTTAAAGTAATATAAAATTAATTATTATTATTATTAACATAAAAACCATATTCTCAATAATTATATTAAAATGTCTCAGGAATTAATGTAGAATTACAAAATTATATGCATTAATTATATTTTCAATTTTTAGAATTAATAAATACAATCATCATTTATAATAATGAACTATATTACCATAAAAAAATTTATTTTTTAAATATTGTTAATTTTTTAGAAACTGTATGTGCTCATTATCTTAAATACTTTTAGTTCTGAATTGAACAAATAAACAATTACTTATGTAACAAAAATTATTGTCTTGTATTGTAAATCTAGCCAATTACCATTTAATTATCTATAGGAAAAACATTACGATTTTCATGAAAATTTGTTAATCTGATTCAGTCAATAGTAAATAAAACCATATTTCATCAGAAAAAAGTAAATATAATTTTATTCTTTCACAGAATTAATAAATAAGTAACTGAATTTTATGTATTGCAATTTTAGATGTTTCTGCAGCTGATTTAAAATTTTGGTTCAGAATGACTGACTATAAATTAGTCATTCTAAAATAAAGTAACTCTTGATGAATAGGCTTAATTAGATAAGGCAACACATGGGAAGATCTGCCAAATGGGGTAGTGCCTTCCAGAAGGAAACTGGCACCAATTTATATGTGAGGCCCGTGAAGAAAACCTGGAAAACTCCACGTGGCCAGCCTGTTGGTGAGAGGCAAATGCACAACCACCAATGTTCAATAGCTATATCCAGAAATTTTTTCTACAATAAAAATTTTTCAGGTTTTTAATGAACATAATGAATAATATGAAGTTAGTTTTAAATATGTTTACTGTTCTTATCACTGCAGAAACATTTTTGAAATAATCATTAATACTGAAAGGCAAACTTTATCAATAATCACATAAGTAAATGTGTAAATGATTTTAACAATCATATGTAACATGTTGTCTATTACATAAATTAATGTATTTTATGTTGAGAGCACATACCTTCTTTTTTAAAAATGTAAATGATATAATGTTTTGAAGTATATATATATATAAAAAAATACACTTTACTATTTCAAATAAATTCTATTGTTATTCTCAGATTGATTAATTTCTGGATTATGCATTCTACAATCAATCCTATATTTAAAAGGTGTCCAGATAAAATCTGGCCGAGTTTGTGCAACATTCTTTTTACACAAAACTAAACTAAGAACTAAATAGTCATTTCAAAGCTGATGAAAAGCTGTTTATTATCTTTTATTTTTGTAATTTTACAAGCCCATCACTAAATAGTCAGTTTGACTGGGTGTGCAGTACAAGGTTTTGTACAAGACTGATTCACATTTTCCAGGAAGTACTTTATGTCTCTGATCAGCAGATGCACGTGTTTTGCCTTTCATCTCTTTTTTGTAAACTGCTGCCATGAAAATTGCCAAAAATCCTTGATTGCCCTAATTTCTGGCACATTTGCAGGGTTGTTACTCTTTTTGACAAAGGTGATTTTTCCTATTGAAGATAATGCAGTAGAGTTTTGTCATAGTGGAAACTTGCTCAATCTGGACAGACGACATTCTGTTAGAGAAAAGATCTTTGAAATATAAGGAATCAAATCAAATTGTATATGTCTATTTAAATATCACTGGGCATGACAGCAAAACTTAATTTTTCTTATCAATCTTTTTGAAATCCAAACCAAAACTTTGCCCTCAAAATTCTTTTTATTGGAAAACTTTACATTGGCTGGTGTAAAGGAAATAACCACTGGTATAAAATCCACCATTACCATCAAGTGCAAAATGGTAAAGCAAGATTTGTCATCCTAAATGAATTACTTTTCAGAGAATTTTCACAACCTTCCATAATTTGTCTTTGCATGTCCATTCTGACTGGAATTATCTTCTTTGAAAAGAAAAATATGTTAAACATCAAAAGACTTGTGGCCCCAATTATGTGAAATTTTCAATTTCAGGGCTACAAACAAAAACCTTCTCTCTTTGAAAGATCCAAGATGGGTTTCATTAGAATTTTCATTTTTCCATCAAATCCCTTTCTTCTCTGTTGTTGTAATACACTCTTGAAACATTGGGAAATTCAATATATATTCTGTTTTAAAATTCCTTCAATTGCAAAATGGTTTGCAATAAACTTTTTTCCTAATATTTTATTTAATGGTGTGAAAATTGTACACCCTTAGATGTAAAACATTTTTGGAACATTGACATTTGGAAAGCAACAGATAATTAAATGCAAAAAAATATTCTAGAATGTTCTACATCATTTCAAATTATAACATGTGCAGAATAATAATAAATTATTGGCTGTTAGTAAGAGCCTGAGATATTTTGTGTGGCTTTTTTCCAGACACCCATTATATGTTAGAACGGTTTCTTACTTTCGTATGATGTATTAACGCTGTTATATATTTGAAACATGATTTTACTTCAGTTCACCAATAAAGAAGATAAAGTTGAGTAGGATTATCTGTTGATGATTCTTTAATAATTACTGATTTAATAATTTAGAAATAATTTGTATAAAAACCAATGTTATTGATTAGATATTATATGTATATATAAAATTTATTTATGAATGTTAATTATCATCATTAAACATAATTAAATTATTCTAATTTTAATAGTTATGTAAAATAAATGTTCTTAGCATTTTCATTACAACTTAAACTTTTTATAGAAGTTTTATTATTTATATATAAATATTAGTATTTAATAAAAACATTACATTGAGTTCTCTTTTTTTATTATTATTAGTTAAAGTAATATAAAATTAATTATTATTATTATTAACATAAAAACCATATTCTCAATAATTATATTAAAATGTCTCAGGAATTAATGTAGAATTACAAAATTATATGCATTAATTATATTTTCAATTTTTAGAATTAATAAATACAATCATCATTTATAATAATGAACTATATTACCATAAAAAAATTTATTTTTTAAATATTGTTAATTTTTTAGAAACTGTATGTGCTCATTATCTTAAATACTTTTAGTTCTGAATTGAACAAATAAACAATTACTTATGTAACAAAAATTATTGTCTTGTATTGTAAATCTAGCCAATTACCATTTAATTATCTATAGGAAAAACATTACGATTTTCATGAAAATTTGTTAATCTGATTCAGTCAATAGTAAATAAAACCATATTTCATCAGAAAAAAGTAAATATAATTTTATTCTTTCACAGAATTAATAAATAAGTAACTGAATTTTATGTATTGCAATTTTAGATGTTTCTGCAGCTGATTTAAAATTTTGGTTCAGAATGACTGACTATAAATTAGTCATTCTAAAATAAAGTAACTCTTGATGAATAGGCTTAATTAGATAAGGCAACACATGGGAAGATCTGCCAAATGGGGTAGTGCCTTCCAGAAGGAAACTGGCACCAATTTATACGTGAGGCCCGTGAAGAAAACCTGGAAAACTCCACGTGGCCAGCCTGTTGGTGAGAGGCAAATGCACAACCACCAATGTTCAATAGCTATATCCACTTGGCTACTGGTGTCCAAAATAATCTTTTAAACAAAATAAATTTTGCATTTTGCTAATTTTATTGTTTATTTTAGTTATTGCTTTAAATAACTTTTTAAATTATATTTGATATATTTTGTTTATATTACATATTGAACTAAATGAGAAAGTCATTGTTAAATAATCATTTGATTTAATTCTAATTAAACAATTATTTAACAATTATTAAAACTAGTACTATCCTTAAAAATTGAATTTTTATTACACATTTTGTATTATATTTATTAAAAAGAATGAAAGTAACAAAATACTTTTATAGTAAAATTTTATAACTAAAAATATTAGAAATAAAATGCTTGAACTTAAAAATTGAATACTATTTTATATTATTTTAAATTAAATCTTATATACAAATGAGTAATTTTTGATTGTGAAGTTAAGTTTCACTTAAAACTCTAGATTATGCAAGCTTTTTAAAAAAATATTCTATAAATATTGACGATGATGATTTTATGAAAACATACCTAATTCATATTCGTCCTTGGAATCATCACATGTAAAAATGAACTTACCAACTGTTCCATACAAAACCAAAACGTCAACACAAATTTTAAACATAAAATTGCAGTTTATCAAAATAATGTATCTGGGAATTGAATTTAAATTGATTATTTTTATTGTAAAAATAGAATTAGGAACAACATTGAATACAAATTTTGAATGCAGTAGTTATCAGGGTATTAGGAAATGTGATGAAAATTGTCAAAATACCTCATTGAATTTTATATGGCAAGATGACTTCTTCTGCTAACAGTTCATTCCAAAGCTCATTAACATGGTATTTATGTGCAAGATGAAGTTCAAATATCTCTGAATGTTGGATATCCGTTGGTGGAAGATGGTCCTGAGTCTGAAAGGCTACTATAGTGCATAACATTTATTGAAGAACAATGCAGTAATAAAAAAGTTGATTTTAAAAAGTGAATTATAATCAGAAAATGTAATTTAATAATAAAATTTTGTTTTCCAATGCTATATATACATATACACTTATATTGAAGCAGAATTATTTTTTTATTGATAAATACCAAAATAAAGATTTCCTATGGCATTTGAAATATTAGAACTATTCATGTAAACTATGCTAATTTTATAGTTTATCTTTTCATAATAATAATTATAATTTTTCAAAGTCAAAATATGAGAATGAACCAGCACCCAAGAATTTTGTTTTTTGTTAAACTTGATAATTATGACATTTTTATGTAAATGGTAGTATAATAATTAATAAAGAATGCTAATGTATTTTAAATATCTTAAACTAAAAATTTTTAAAACATTATTCAATNAAAAACACTCTCTCTCTTTGAAAGATCCAAGATGGGTTTCATTAGAATTTTCATTTTTCCATCAAATCCCTTTCTTCTCTGTTGTTGTAATACACTCTTGAAACATTGGGAAATTCAATATATATTCTGTTTTAAAATTCCTTCAATTGCAAAATGGTTTGCAATAAACTTTTTTCCTAATATTTTATTTAATGGTGTGAAAATTGTACACCCTTAGATGTAAAACATTTTTGGAACATTGACATTTGGAAAGCAACAGATAATTAAATGCAAAAAAATATTCTAGAATGTTCTACATCATTTCAAATTATAACATGTGCAGAATAATAATAAATTATTGGCTGTTAGTAAGAGCCTGAGATATTTTGTGTGGCTTTTTTCCAGACACCCATTATATGTTAGAACGGTTTCTTACTTTCGTATGATGTATTAACGCTGTTATATATTTGAAACATGATTTTACTTCAGTTCACCAATAAAGAAGATAAAGTTGAGTAGGATTATCTGTTGATGATTCTTTAATAATTACTGATTTAATAATTTAGAAATAATTTGTATAAAAACCAATGTTATTGATTAGATATTATATGTATATATAAAATTTATTTATGAATGTTAATTATCATCATTAAACATAATTAAATTATTCTAATTTTAATAGTTATGTAAAATAAATGTTCTTAGCATTTTCATTACAACTTAAACTTTTTATAGAAGTTTTATTATTTATATATAAATATTAGTATTTAATAAAAACATTACATTGAGTTCTCTTTTTTTATTATTATTAGTTAAAGTAATATAAAATTAATTATTATTATTATTAACATAAAAACCATATTCTCAATAATTATATTAAAATGTCTCAGGAATTAATGTAGAATTACAAAATTATATGCATTAATTATATTTTCAATTTTTAGAATTAATAAATACAATCATCATTTATAATAATGAACTATATTACCATAAAAAAATTTATTTTTTAAATATTGTTAATTTTTTAGAAACTGTATGTGCTCATTATCTTAAATACTTTTAGTTCTGAATTGAACAAATAAACAATTACTTATGTAACAAAAATTATTGTCTTGTATTGTAAATCTAGCCAATTACCATTTAATTATCTATAGGAAAAACATTACGATTTTCATGAAAATTTGTTAATCTGATTCAGTCAATAGTAAATAAAACCATATTTCATCAGAAAAAAGTAAATATAATTTTATTCTTTCACAGAATTAATAAATAAGTAACTGAATTTTATGTATTGCAATTTTAGATGTTTCTGCAGCTGATTTAAAATTTTGGTTCAGAATGACTGACTATAAATTAGTCATTCTAAAATAAAGTAACTCTTGATGAATAGGCTTAATTAGATAAGGCAACACATGGGAAGATCTGCCAAATGGGGTAGTGCCTTCCAGAAGGAAACTGGCACCAATTTATATGTGAGGCCCGTGAAGAAAACCTGGAAAACTCCACGTGGCCAGCCTGTTGGTGAGAGGCAAATGCACAACCACCAATGTTCAATAGCTATATCCACTTGGCTACTGGTGTCCAAAATAATCTTTTAAACAAAATAAATTTTGCATTTTGCTAATTTTATTGTTTATTTTAGTTATTGCTTTAAATAACTTTTTAAATTATATTTGATATATTTTGTTTATATTACATATTGAACTAAATGAGAAAGTCATTGTTAAATAATCATTTGATTTAATTCTAATTAAACAATTATTTAACAATTATTAAAACTAGTACTATCCTTAAAAATTGAATTTTTATTACACATTTTGTATTATATTTATTAAAAAGAATGAAAGTAACAAAATACTTTTATAGTAAAATTTTATAACTAAAAATATTAGAAATAAAATGCTTGAACTTAAAAATTGAATACTATTTTATATTATTTTAAATTAAATCTTATATACAAATGAGTAATTTTTGATTGTGAAGTTAAGTTTCACTTAAAACTCTAGATTATGCAAGCTTTTTAAAAAAATATTCTATAAATATTGACGATGATGATTTTATGAAAACATACCTAATTCATATTCGTCCTTGGAATCATCACATGTAAAAATGAACTTACCAACTGTTCCATACAAAACCAAAACGTCAACACAAATTTTAAACATAAAATTGCAGTTTATCAAAATAATGTATCTGGGAATTGAATTTAAATTGATTATTTTTATTGTAAAAATAGAATTAGGAACAACATTGAATACAAATTTTGAATGCAGTAGTTATCAGGGTATTAGGAAATGTGATGAAAATTGTCAAAATACCTCATTGAATTTTATATGGCAAGATGACTTCTTCTGCTAACAGTTCATTCCAAAGCTCATTAACATGGTATTTATGTGCAAGATGAAGTTCAAATATCTCTGAATGTTGGATATCCGTTGGTGGAAGATGGTCCTGAGTCTGAAAGGCTACTATAGTGCATAACATTTATTGAAGAACAATGCAGTAATAAAAAAGTTGATTTTAAAAAGTGAATTATAATCAGAAAATGTAATTTAATAATAAAATTTTGTTTTCCAATGCTATATATACATATACACTTATATTGAAGCAGAATTATTTTTTTATTGATAAATACCAAAATAAAGATTTCCTATGGCATTTGAAATATTAGAACTATTCATGTAAACTATGCTAATTTTATAGTTTATCTTTTCATAATAATAATTATAATTTTTCAAAGTCAAAATATGAGAATGAACCAGCACCCAAGAATTTTGTTTTTTGTTAAACTTGATAATTATGACATTTTTATGTAAATGGTAGTATAATAATTAATAAAGAATGCTAATGTATTTTAAATATCTTAAACTAAAAATTTTTAAAACATTATTCAATAATTAATTTTAAAATAAAAAAAAACCAATTAAAAGAATTCTTCATAAATCAGAACTTTTTCAAATTAACAGATATAAATTATTTTATTGTATTCTAGTCCAATGAAATTTAAATATGGAAAAATTAGAAATGTTGACAGGAAATAGCTATTAGTAAAAATATAGTTGAATTATTTTCATTAGAAAATTTTTAAAATATTATATAAAATATGAGTTTTAGAGAATTATCAAAAAGCTTTTAAAAAGTTTTCTATATTTTTATCTAATCACATCTGTGATTTGAACTTCTATACTGGTTTAGTATTTATTATACAAATCCTATGCAAAGCTAAAAATTTAAATCCTTACTTGACTATTCGTTGAAAGAAAAAAATTAAAGAATATTTGGAATGGTAACAGTATAATGGGTATGATCAGAGAATATTAGTGATTATTGAGAGATTTTATTTGGTAGAAAATTAAAAACAGGAGTAATTATTTACTTCATTCATGCTTAGTTGGTCCAGTGATTTATAATATTCCATATCTATAAAACAAGATCACAATGGAATAATCATTATTAAGAAAACACTGTTTTCTCTAACTTCTACAATTATAAATATTTAAAAAACTACAAAAATAGATAAACATAATAAATGTGTTAATAAATTGATCATCACTGAAGTAGGAAAAAAATTATAATGATTTTATTTTCCTAATAAAATAGAATTACAAAGAGAAAAGTTTTAGTATTTTAATAAGAAAAATCATGAAAAACAAACATGTAATAATAGAAAACAGCAGCAAAAATATAACTTTATTCAATCTAATAGTAAACTGTTTATTTGTACTGTACTTTTCAAAATAAATATGAATTCAATTAAAATTATAGATTAAACTGAATACTGTGAAAGAAATTAACAATAATTCTGATCAACTTTTTCACTAATGTAATAAAAAAGTTTAAATGTGTATCATAATTGTTTATTGTGACCTTGTAATCTGGGACCAACCTAAATAGTAAAACTGTAGGTTGTAAATTAGAAAAAATATTTCAAACTCAAAATGAAAGAGTTATTTTGAGTTTGAAAAATTTTTTGTATGCTATGCATGTATGTATGTATATATGTATGTATGGCTTTGTTGGAAATTAGAAAAAATATTACTTTTTAAAAACAACAAATAGCAATAAAAATTCTTTTCAGGTTTCTAATTATGCCATTGAAGAATTTTTACATGCAAATTATTAGATATATTGAACATCATTGCTATAGAAATTACAATTTTTGCAATAGTAATTTAAGGGTTAAAGGTTAATAATAATATTTAAAATCAATTTTTAAAAATTTAAGAATAATTATCTTTTTTTTTTTGGCAAAATATTTTTGATTTTCACTACTTGATTTAAAACTTACTGGAATTTCGAATATTTTTAAAAATAAAAGGATAAAGGATAATGTTACATATTTTTGTATAGATAATTAATGGGTGCTGAACCACCTTCATATTTAACTCTCAAATATAAATATCACTATTTCTGAATAAATCTATGTTTAATTATGTTGTTGGAAATCATTATTCAAAATAACTGGATCTCAATGCAGCATCTTGTTTGTATTATTTTCATAAAAATAAATTGTCAACATCACATTTAAAAATATCTTTATTACAAGTAGTTTTCAACTATAAACTATCATTAAAATCTAGTATTATGTTATTTATTTTTGACAATATGCTAAATTTATTATACTTTGAAAACTGCATGCAAATTTCTAATATTTCAATTTTTTATTAAAAAGTGTTTACAAATAAATAGTTACTAGTTGCATAAATAACAATAATAATCTATGCTCTTAACTTGTTTTGAAAGTACAATGCTCTAATATGAAGTAAACTACATATTTAACAGAAATTTGACTAGACTTTCTAATTTATTTTATAAATTAAATGCTTTGTGATGTATTATTTATAGATAAATTTGATATAAAACAAAAAAAATTATATTTTATGTATTTTGTACTTCTGTAGATTGAAAATACATTCTGTAGGTATAAATTTTCTCAAA